TGTCTACAAAAGTTTTGTCACAGAATCTACACTTGTATGGTTTGTCTCCGGTATGAATTCTTTCATGCACTGTGCAATGGCCTTTTTGAGTAAAAGTTTTGTCACAGAATCTACACTTGTAAGGTCTCTCTCCTTTGCACATTTTTACTGAATGTTGTAAGAACTTAATTGGTGGTATTAAAAGTCTTGTCACAGACTCTACACTTGTAAGGTTTCTCTCCAGTATAATTATTTTCTTGAATTTTATGAGATGATTAATTGCCAAAAGATTCTTGTCACAAGTTACTTTGAGTCCTGATTCCAAGGCTACTTTTCACATGATTTCCTATTTTTGGTTTGTCATTCCTTTTCCTGCCATTGTTACGTACACTACTGTCTTACATTTCACTGTGAGCCAGTCACTTGGATAAGGTGCTAAGACTTATCAAAGCTTGATATGTCCTTTCTAATACAGTAATTGTGTTCACAATTCAACTCTCAGAGCACCATAAGAATATCCATTTGGATTCAGTATGAACTTGTTGTCAACATTACCAATGCACCTAGTTTTTGTACTGAGCAATGCATAAAGTTGTATTAGGAACTCCCTGTTTAAAATCTTGAATCCAGTCATTCTATTGGACAATGTTAACTGCTGGTTACAGTGGACATATCTGATTGGTTGAAGTTATTCCTCTCCAATACTTCAGGTGCCATAATTTAAAGATGTTATCTGCACAACCCACTGCATATAATTATCTGTTATTACTTCACTAAGCATTGTTAAACATGTACCATGACACCATCAAGCTCACATCTAGCTAGCTAAGACAAGTAGTGATTTTATCAGTTAGTTTGTATTTGTCACACATGCCAGGCTGGTTCTGTAGATGATGTGACAAGTACTTCAATTAATTCAATTTATGAAACCCTTCAGCAGCTAGCAGTTTCAAAAGTGAGCTCTTTTTCTGAAAAATTGACCTTTTGCCATGCAATCATCGTGTACTTAGAAAAGAAATTTACTCAGAGGGAACATTTTCCCAGAAAAAAGGGACCCCACACACCCCCTGGCTACTGGGCCTGTTCACGTTAAAAAATTATTAAAAAATTTAGTTCAGTTATAGTTTAAAAAAAAAAAACTATTAAAAAATTTACTCCACCAAGGCATGTTACTTTCAAAGAGGAGAAAGATTGAATTTTTTTAATGTGTGCAATATTTTTACTGTTTGGTGACTGCATTTTTGCCAGCTTTTCTGTTTCAACATAATTTATCCCTCTCAGCTTATGATAATGTTAACATTTGTCTTTAAGGGTAGTGTACCAATAGACCAGGGAAACACTAGGTGAAAATATCTGTAATATCAGTGAGCCACCACACCATTAAGACAGAGATGAAAACACACCTACAAGGTACCCCAGATATGTACATGTATATCGTATATGGTAACATTCATGATTTAATCACAGGGAATAGTATCAGTGGTAAATGAACTGTTTTTTCTAGTTGATAACAACTTAAAATATTGAAAGCTTTCTAACATGAAAGTGTGTACGATGATCATAAAACCAACAGAGCTTGTGAAGAGTAAAAAACATTTCCTTTTTTAGCCTGTTGTTAAGGTCTTGGACATAATAAGATTCCTTTTTATGTCCAAGTTAAGGTGAACACTTTTATTGCTTTTAGAACTTTTAAAACTATTTTTGCTAATCTTGTTGAAATTTTGTTTGCTGTTTGGTGTCTGTATATTTGCCAGTTTTGATGTCGAGGTTTTTTTTCCTTCAGAATGTTGGTACATTTCTTGTGGAAGTAGTGACCAAGGACCAGACATTGTGGGCGGTTGCTGAGGCTCTGATGTGTTTGCAGATGATCATCTGGACCTGTTGTCATGGAGATCAGGGTAACAAACAAACTCCAGACCATATGGTACCACAGCTGACAGCTAAGGTAAAACAGCTTCTTGTGGTATAAATTAATTAATTTATTTAATCATTAGCTATTCATTAGCAGTTGCATTATCTGCATAGTGGACAATATGAAAAAGTGTCATTTTTTCTTACTACAATGATTCCTGCAGTTGGGTATTTAATATATTCTTTTACATTGTAACAATATCTTTATTTAAAGACATTTTGATCAATTTAGTGATGGATATCGTCTGAAGACATATTGTGACATTTTTCCAGATTAATTAACAGAAGAGAAGCCTATAGGAGACCACCTTCCTATCAGCATGACAGCAAGGACAAATCTGGTGCACTTCATCAAATGCAAATCTTGACCAAAAGAACTAAGGCATGTTTTTATTCTCAAAGTGACTTAAAACTCAGCAGTAATATGGATCTGAGTAATAATTAGAGTGAACCACTTCAAGTTCTATATTTTTCTGGTGTTCACTCAATTTCAGGCAACACAAATATTTGACATTAATATTTTTTCAGTTATTTTTTTCCACAACTTTTATGATAGTCCTGTCAGAAGATTCATGTGTTATCACAAGAGACTGATGTAAAACCCGCTTTTGTTTTTAGCCTTTCCTTTCAAAATTAAATATCAAAATGTGTGGGGCTGTATTGTTTGTTTAAACTTTGACCCACTTACTGAGACAACCAAGTGATTAAATTTCTTTTCTGATTGCTCACAAGCAAAATGATTTTTTGGGAGAAATTGTGCTTTTGTGAGGCTAAAGTTGTTCCATTATTGTCTACACTGCATTGATTTTGTTTGATTTGATTAAACTTTGTATAACACTCTAATATTCTATAAATTATATTGTTTTAAATGGGTGGCATTGTTAATAAAATAAATTTCCTTCATTGAATGTGAAGCTAAAGATATTCCATTGTTGTTGGAAATATTGCTTATTGTTTTAATTTAACCAGAATGTGTACATTGAATGGCAGTATAATATTCCCTTATAACATAGTTTTAAGCTGGTTTGGATATTTAAAAGAATTAGTTCCTGAAATATATTGATCTATCCATGGTGGGGGGAGGGCGGGGAGAAATGTACTGAAACCTTGATGATTCAGATTGTCACTTTTGACATTCATGCAAACTTATTTTCAATAAAGAACAAATCGACAAAAAATTTGTAGGAAAATTGTGCGAATGTCAGGGAGGTCATTGGGGAGTGGACGGTGGTAGAGTGATCCAGGCCTATCCCAGGGGCCTTATGACTTTGGACCCTTCAGTGGTTCAGTGGCAGAGAGGCCTACAACGGGGATTCGACCTCTGTTTTTTTTTTAATATGAGCAAGAGTTCTGTCTTGAGAGATTACTAGTTTTTATAACATCATCTACTTCCTGGAATTTATTTTAGGGTATGGCAGCTTTGTTCATGTCTACAAACAAATTACCAAGATCTCTCACAGTAGGGCCGTTCAAAGAATTTTGTTTGGTCATTGCCAAAAAGTCCAGCAACAGGCGTTTCATGTTTATCTTTCTTGTTTTTTTTTAACAAGTAAGGTAAGATAAGAATTTATTCAGCCAATAAAAATATTAAAATATAAATATCGAAGATTGTTTTCATTTGAGAGATAAAAAAAACTGGACATTAAAATGGATATGAACTAGGCCTAAAAGTGGAATTAATATAAGATACTACGGAGAGACAAAAACTACTTCAAAACCGTTTACTGACCTTAAAGATTATATTAGACGTCTATATAAGATATTGCTTGGTAATAATTCAAAAAGAGAATTTGCTGAATGGGCGGGACCCCCCGTGATTCGTTTTGTTGTTTTTCTCCATTCTGTGTTTCATGATACCGTCCAATTAGGAGAGATCTCTCCCAATTATTTTACAAGCGGCGTTTATAACATTGGGAAGTTTTTCCCGTTCATCCACTGCTGCCACTGAAGCCACACATATGAAATCAGATTTCTAAACCTGATCGCTTGATATCTAGTATTATGACCGATAAAATGCAGGCCCGTAGCCAGCAATTTCAAAAGGGGGTTCTTTTTCTGAAAAAGTGGACCTTTTTTCCATAAAAACTTCAGGAACCTACATCAAATTTTACCCAGAGTGGACCTTTTCTCACCAAAGGGGGCGGTTCTTTCGAACCCCCCGAACCCCCCCTGGCTACGGGCCTGAAATGTGATTGTTTTATCTACTGTGATTGTATTAAACCGGGTCACCTTCCTGGGATGGGGATCCATGATTGTATCTTATCATATAGATGTAATGAAACTCAATCAGATTATGTACATCTTAGTGGATGAACTTAACGAAATTATCGTGCGAAGATAACATTTTTACTCTGAATAGTCTCACAAAGAAAAAAAAAACCGACAAACTCTTCGTAGCATTAATGAATCTAAATTATGTTTTGGTGTTATTGACAGAGAGTTAATGTTCTATAATGATCATAGGTTTGATTGTAACAGCTACCTGAGGTGTGCAATCAGCTGAGCTAACCCCAACGAAAGCGACACGACGGATACAGAAATATCGAAGTGATAATATAACTTGTTTTATCTGTTGATTAAAAGAGAACGTTATGGCACAGTTGATGAAATTCTTTTAGACATTGTACCGATAGAAAAAGTCAAACATTGAAAGACTTTATTTGAAATAAAACAAAATCACATACTGGCCAATTTAAGTTTTTTCTATAATTTTATGTAGACAAAGCATATTGCTAATACATTACTCTAAAAAACCGAAGTGTTTCTTACCTAAGGATTGAAGAGAACAATTTCGAAATTAAAAGAAACAGATTATTTATTTATTTGTTTATTTAGTGTGTGTGTGTGTGTGTGTGTGTAAGAGAGAGAGAGAGAAAGAGATGGGGTGGAAGACGAACATGTAGAGTGTTCGAGGAAATCTCCTTTTTTGGCAGTTATCAATGTTGACAAGTATGATAATCTGTAAATATCCAAGAAAAAACTTAAACTCTATATAATAATTGGAAAAATTAATTTAGGCGCAGAATATTCAGAACGAATGGCATAAAAAGTACAACCTTGTTCACTTTTTCATGACAGCCAGATAAACTCCGCCGGGCAACGATATTATCATGTTATCCCAACAGTTGCCAGTTATTTAGAAAGGGCCGTCTTGTTTGGCCCTTAACTATTTCTATCAATTAGATTCATTATTGCTGTAAAATAATTATCTTATTGTTTGATCCATAACATGTTGGGACACAGGTTTGTCGGTGCTTATTTATGTATTTATTTGTTTGCTAGTGGCACTTGGGTCCGAACGGAACTAGGATTTATCTGTTCCATTATGTCAACAACAGGATTATAGGTACGTCTATTGATCGATAAAAAATATCAACATTCATCGTCTTTCCCTGCTGTTGAGTTTCGTGGAAGTAATGTTTCAAAGAAATATGAAACTGCACAATGAAAGACGCATGCACAATATTTGTGGAATAAAGTGGTGTATTTTAACAACAAGTGGACCTCAATCAAATCTTCATACATATGTGTTTGACCGTGAACACTCGTGAACAGTTTCAGCCACAGCCCTTCACCTAAAATGGGCCATACCTGTCTGTAATTTGCATAACAATAATTTGCTCATCGTAGTGTGAGCTGTCTTTCCGAAGGCTCACTAGGCAGTAGGACACATCAGGGTGAAGACGCAACAGCAATGTGTGGTACAGTTGCAAGGCCGAGCTTTTATGAGGCGAAGACACAAACGCATGTTTCGTAAGTATCACATTTTCTTCAGTAACTTTAGTCAGTGGATATAAAAAGCGTAAAAGAATGCAAGGAAAATTACGACAAGTATTTATGTTGCGATTCTTTGTTATGTTTTGCCTGTCGTTTCTTTTATGTCACTCAGAATATTAGCTAGCATATTAGTAGATGGGAATATTAACACAGATAGGCCTATCACGGACTAATTTAGAAGATAATACCGACTTGTCACAGTTTTGAGCTTTAACTGCAAAGACAAGTGTGTCCTATCAACGTGTACATCAATTTTATAGTCAAATATGTCGCACGCGTGTTGCATAGCGATTTTAGATATTTCAACATTGAATAGTAGGTAAAATAAATTAAGGTCTCTAGTAATAACCTCCACGCATTAAAGAATTGTTTTCAGTGTTTATTTTTCCAAAGCAAGATATCTCTAATANCGATTCTTTGTTATGTTTTGCCTGTCGTTTCTTTTATGTCACTCAGAATATTAGCTAGCATATTAGTAGATGGGAATATTAACACAGATAGGCCTATCACGGACTAATTTAGAAGATAATACCGACTTGTCACAGTTTTGAGCTTTAACTGCAAAGACAAGTGTGTCCTATCAACGTGTACATCAATTTTATAGTCAAATATGTCGCACGCGTGTTGCATAGCGATTTTAGATATTTCAACATTGAATAGTAGGTAAAATAAATTAAGGTCTCTAGTAATAACCTCCACGCATTAAAGAATTGTTTTCAGTGTTTATTTTTCCAAAGCAAGATATCTCTAATATCTTTATCAATAACTTAAGATCTTAATTTTGGCGTAAGGTAACCTCGATATAGGTTGTTTTTTGAGGGGTGCTATCTGAGTCTGAACATCGGACAAGTCACTAAACACCCACATCATTTCAAGAACCCTCTTCTCTTTGATGTAAAATGCAATTGTTATATTTTCCGAGTCAAATATTGTTTGCATTACTTTCTCATTTCAGAAGTCCGCTGAGATACTGAGTACTGCACTACACCCGCCTGCTAGCAACCAAGCCTTTCATTCACTTTTTGGAACCAAACGCACAATCATGCATCTATTGTATTTAAATAAAAGCTGATTAGATATTTGTATTTATTTTTTTTTTACTTTGCTTTGAAATAATGTCTATTAAGATAGCGATAA